GAGAATGTTTCTTTTAGCTTAAAGGCAGGTTACTGGTTGTTGTTTTTTTATTTTTTATTTTTGGGAGGGAAGTGGGGGAAGAACAGCAGTGAATTGTATTCTGGTTTTATCTTTGTGAGAACATTTGCTGACATTAGTAAACAATCTTTTTGTTTGTTTTGCTGCATTATCAGTCATAGGTTGTAAGAACATTTGCTGACATTAGTCACGGTTCTCATTGGGGTGGTCTCCAACATGGCCCCATTTTTGTTTTAGTAATAATTGAAGCACTGTCATTAGCAGAAAAACCTTCTTCATTTTGGTCATAAGATTACTTTCAATGGAGTTGTGCAAACTCAGTGTAATTATAATGACAAACCAATTCTTGCTGTAGTGCAAAGGGAACTGCTGTTGGCCAGGTCTCTGATTATTGCTACCTGGGTCCTGCTGAGCTGGGTGTGGGAAAGGAAGGAATGACAGCATAGGGCACAGGAGACCTCCCTCAGAAGGAGCGAGGGTTCAGATTGCCGCAAAGTTTGGGGAGAGTGAGGATCTATGCCTCACTTCTGTTAACCCCCAAATTCCCTCATTATATCTCAGGCTGTTCCTTCTCTGGGAAATTTTACCCATCTCTAGCTAACAAGCCATACTCTGGGGCCAAGCTGGGTGATGTAGGATGTGACATGAAAGAAGAGCAGTCTCCCCACCAGGGTTGATTCTGTCTTCTAACTAGCTACACCCCATGGTCTCCATGCCCTTGGGATTCCCTCACCTTCTGGTGTGGCCCCAGCTCTGGTCACAGGTCTTAGGGAACCCATATTTGTTTCCCAGGGACGGCCTTGCTCATACACACCCTGGTCATGGTAGAAAAGATAAGAGAAACCTCTCCTGTCATTCCTAAAACTGCCATTGCTAAAAATCAAGATATAAGCTGAATTTTATAAAATGCAGCATTCATGATATCTACAATAAATGGAGCTTCCAGCCATTCTAATTAACAGAACCACTGTTTTATTCCAAACTAAAGTTTGATTAAGACAAGAAAAGGAAGAACAATTATGATAACTTAATAATTTTTTGGTTTCACTATATCCAGGTTCTTCTATTAGGAACACATATGAGTCAAAGGCACAAGCCTTTTAGCTTTATTTTTGAATGATTCAATTTTAGTTTGATTAACAACTGAGGAGGAAGAAAAGACCAAAATGAATGTCAGAAGAGACTCTGAAGATTGCACTGGAGCACAGAGAAGCCAACGCAGAAGGAAGAATTCAAGATACTAAAGAGTTGAATAGAAGATTTCAAAAAACAGCATGGGATGACAAAGTAAAATATTACAATGAAATGTGCAAGGAGTTGGAGTCAGAAAATCAAAAGGGCCGAACTCGTTCAGCATTTCTTAAGCTCAAGGAACTGAAGAACAAATTCAAACCTCGAG